GCTCCACCCAACTTTCTTTCCTCTCACCCTGCTTTCAGGATTTCATTAAACTAAGTGGCTGAACAAAACCAAAATACCTGCCACATTTGATGCAGCATTAACTTCTTGTGCGTCCCCTCCAAGGGTGCTGGATGTTTTGCTATGTTGGGTTCCTCCATGCCCTCTTCAAATAGGATTTCAGATAGGACAGCTCTAGTCATGGAAAAACTAGAGCTGATTATTTTTTAAGGGGGAGAGCAGAGCCTGTGTATGTGTGTTCGCTTTCTCTCTCTCTGATAATGAAAAGGGATTTGGCTCAGGCTGGCTTCTGTTGTATTAATGTAGTTGGAATATATGGGCCCAGAGTCAACTATTTACATGACCCTTTTATTGTCCAACACTAAAGTTTTAAAAAAGGTTCAGGTTTAGTACGTGACCTCAGTGTAGTACCAGGGCCCAAACCCTATTAAAAATAGTGTAACCTCTCATTGAAGATACAGAAAAGAAGGAAAAAAGTTAAAGCATTTGAAATGCAAGATATTAAGTAAGGCTTTCATTATAACCATAATTATTTTCCCCTTTCCCTTTGCTGTAGAGTTTTTAGAATGAAACCCTAGTGTCTGATGGTCTCCTAGAGGCTATTAAAGAGGGAGTTAACTGTCCCTTTCTCTTTTTCCCAAAGAAGTTAGTTGAGATAGGCTGGAGCTCTGGTGATTGCTGCTGTTCAAGTCTAGTCCTATTTCCAAGAAGACAAAATAAGATAAATATGTATAAGAGGGGAGAGGAAAAAAATCAATAAAGATATAAAATGCTGCTTCTATCTCTGCTATTGACTCTGACTTGCAGCCTCACTCTGGAGAAACAAAGGCACAATGCACCATTTTATCAGCCACTCTGAGACCTGGCAAATTTGTACCAGCATTGGTGTGTTTAGAAAATTGCTATTAACTGCCTCTTTACTTACAGGCTCATGGCACTGTTGCAAAATATATAGACTTGGCCAGCTAAGCCAGAAGGCAAAAGGAGAGGGATAGGAAAAGGATACACAAGGGGAGGAAGATGTGACAGTCTCACATCCCAGGTGGTTGGGTTTCAGCCTGACCCAGTGGAGATGGTGATGTCATGTAGGTCCCTTTTTTGGACTAATCTGTTCAGGACACCTTTTCCCATCCAACTGATGAAGGCCCATTGGTGTCTCGGTGGATCCTGAGGCCCTAAGGGGGTGGGTGGCAGCCATAAAGATTACTGCAGCAGTTGCTGGCAGACAGCTTCTTTTAGTTTTCCACCAAAAGTTGTCTTTTTAAAAACCCCAATAATGAGCTCATCCCCTCATTATTTTGTCCACAAATAAGTCTAGTTAGTGACACACCAGTTTTGGTTCATTGATTTCCAGTCTCACACTTCTCTTGTTTACCAGTCATGAGCTTAATGCAGTTCTTGAGTTACATCAATAGGTTGTCTTATTTAAATTAGTCTCTTTTGGATCTTTTTCCACCAACAGTTATTGTTTTAATAGGTTATTGAAACACTTTGTAAACTTCTTTCTAGTTTACCACTGTTAAGCACACAAGTGGGATAAATGCATAGGCCTAATTATTATGACACATCCCATCTGATAAAAGGTCTGGTTTAGAGAAGGGAAAGTTTCAAAAAGAGCTTCTGCAGAACACTCCAAACTTTCAAAAGGTGACGTCTGATTTGAAACTCTGTCTGTTCCAGGAAATTCCACTAGATGGAAGGATTTCAGATTTCCTGAACTTGTATTACAGATCAGTTAATCCTCTCAGGAGTAGTCCAAGGCTATTGCTTTAATAATGCCTTGGTTACTGTTTTAAAAACACGAGAAAAGACATCTCCCATCTGAAAAGCTTCCACTCTAAAAAGATAAACTACATATAATTTACAGTGAAGAGATCATGGTGTAAATGACTGAGAACATGTAAGTTGAGGAAGAAGTAGAGAAGGAGATTTATAGGTCCAGAGAATTGGGAGGGAAAAGGATTATAGAGGAGAGGGAACTGGCTGAGTATAGAGTCAAAATAGTAGAATGACAGGCACCCAGAAATAAGATGTACGCACAAGTAGGACTATCTGAGGGCCTGGAAAATGAGGACAAAGTATTAGAAACTGATGTTTAAGGAGGCGTGAAGCAGTAAAGGGTCTTGTAAAGGAGGATTGCTATGGTTTGGGTGGCAGGCAGATTTTGGATAGACAAGGGTTTAAGCTTGAGTTTAAGTAATTTAAATGTGAGATTGAACAGAGGGGAAGAAGTCAGCACAGAGAGAACTGAAGACAGAAAAGTGGATGAGGCCACTCAGGGATAAGATGTAGAAAGAAAGGAGGGCCCCAAGATGGAACCCTGTGGGACACTGACCAAAGTAAAAGGAGCAAGAAGTGGAAGTTGAAGAAGCAATTCAAGAGATTAGAGAAAGGATGGTCAATTGGTGAAAATGATAGAAAAGTTGAGAAAAATAGAGGCTAATGTATAGAATTTTCAGAGATGCCTGTAATTCTCTCTCCCCTCCTTTCCCCCCCACCCCCTGTTACATTCCCAGTATTTTAATATCCAGAAAAAAACAGCTATTATCTAGATCTTACATCCAAGTCAGATTCAGGTGGACCAGAGAGCTGCGGTAGTAGATCATAAATAAAAATATATCTGCATTTCAGTGTAAATGAAGTCAGGGTGTCCAAGATCCATAATAAACCTAAATTGAGAGAATAATTGGTTGTTACCTATAAAATAAATTAAAAATGAAATAACATCAGTGTGGTGATAGTAGCTATCAAAATTGATTTTCTTTCTTTTCTGGATCTAATTTTCTATTTCCCTATCTTGTTCACTCCAATCATTCTCAATAGCTGAGGTTCACAATAAAACAAACTTTCCAGTGCTCCTCTTTTCCTTGAAGTCTACATAGAGATTGTGCAAAAGCCCTCAAGAAAAACAAGATCTAAGTTGTCTTTACCTCAGCAAATGCCTTATAAAGACTTCCATGTTGGTAGCTTCTTAGGAAAAAAGTTTTTCTGAGGCAGTCCTTGACAGATTGTGGACCTGTAAATCTTATTTCAGCACCAGAAAAACAGTTTAGAAGCATATAGATATGCCTATATTATGACAAATGAGCATGGTTTCTGAAAGGAGATGTCTCTTTAAGCTGTTGGACATCTTTGACCCCATTAATGACATATTTGAGAATAAGGAGAACTGGTTGATATATAGATAATTTACTTTGACTTTCCAAAGGCTTTTTATAGTCTTTCACAGAAGAGTTATTTAAGGAAACTTAGAAGAGTGGAAATCTGGTTGGCGGGGGAAAAAAAAACTTGGTCAAGAATATGAATAAATGGTCAGTTCTCAGCAAAAGAGGTTAGTAGCTTGGTGCCTTAGGAACAGAGATGTTAAAAATTGCTTGCTACAAAATATTATGCTGGCTCATAAGACCAAAGGACTAGAGCTGAGGAATTCCAAGAGGATGACTAGAACAGGGCCGGCACCAGGCAACCAAGCACATGCTTGGAATGGCACCTGGTAAGGGGCGGCCAATCTTGGGGTGGTGGGGGGCAGCGTGGCGCGGCATTCCGTGGGGAGGGGCGCTCCGGCGGCGAGGTGCTCGGTGGGGGG